ACTGTCATCATAACAACTCAGCTATATCTTCACTATAATTATTATGCTTTAATATATGGTTTAAAGTCTATCATTCTTCTCTGCTTTAATATGTAAAGTAGAATGGTCTACAGTTGTCACATTTTCCATAAGTACATAATAAAAACTAAAGAACTGTATCCTGGAAAAAATGTTGATAAGGTTTTTAGTTATTTAGTATGAACATTTTATGATGAATCATAACATTATGTTTTAACTGCTGTATAAAGCCATGTTATATCGGAATATGTAGCCAGTAATATCATAATTATTTGTTATTTGATACAGGTGACTTCGATCTAACAAGTTAAAACGATGAATATGGGTATGTTTGATGTCAATATTTCTGATATTATTAAATAAAGTACAATTCCATGATTCTAGTACTTTTTAAAGTCAACATTTCGTTTTAATACATAATTGAGCCGCGCAATGACAAAACCAACATAATGGGTTTGCGACCAGCATGGATCCAGACCAGCCTGCGCATCCGCGCAGTCTGATCAGGATCCATGCTGTTCGCTTACAAACCCTATTACAAGTAGAGAAACTGATAGCGAACAGCATGGATCCTGATCAGACTGCGCGGATGCGCAGGCTGGTCTGGATCCATGCTGGTCGCAAACGCATTATGTTGGTTTTGTCATGGCGCGGCTCATTTTATATTTCTAATTTCAGATGATACGTTGACTATTGCTATATCTGTTTTTGGTATCATCATTTTCTGTGGCATTTGCATACTTACAGCAGTTATTATACATAGGTGGTAGGTATGCCTTATTAACTCCCCTTTCTCGTAGCAATGTTCAGTTGTACCATTTTTAATTTAATAAGGTTAATTAATATCTATTCCCATAGTGTTTTTTTCGACTGAGATAAGTAAAGTATCAATTTACTGTAATAAGCTTAGTAAACTTTTTCCGTAATCATTTTAAGTGCTTTTGATATTTATTACCGTAATTAATGGAGATACCTTAGTTAGTAATACTGTGTCGAAACACATCAAGTTCCAATGATCGCAAAAGATGATACAGTTTGAATTGTTTAGCAATCCAATACATGATTCAATGACCGGAAGTAAAAGGTGCTTGTTCTCGCAATAACCCGTACCAGGGACAGGACGTGACGTGGTTGCACACTTGGTTCAAGCAAAAATAAATTTGGTTGCAAACTTGACCAGATGGCTACCGATTTATGAATATTTACAACACCGGCACATATTTCCTTCAGGTAAGTGGGTTTGTATGTTATTTTGAAAAAAAAATATGCCCATTCATTAAAGTTTATGACACACTCGGATTTAGGTTTCAGCTTCCTAGCTTCTAATTTGACGTAGTTATTAAAGATATAAACTGGTCATGTACATATTTTTGCGATTTGACAGGTGACAATTCTGGTCGGATTTCCTGCTAATTTATTCGCATCTTTAAGTTTTGAAATTCACCAAACAAGACAAAATATGTTTCTGTCAATACTGTGTAAATGTTTTAATTTGCATGTTCGTTAAATCAGAAGCTGGAAAGCTGAACCCTAAAACCGAGTGTGTCATAAACATTGCTTTAAAGAATGGAAATATTAAAAGTTTTCAAAATAACATACTGAAGAAAATACGTGTGAGTGTTGTAAATATTCATTCGGTAGCCATTTTGTCAAGATTGCAACGCTTGAACCAAGTGTGCAACCATTTCACGTCCTGACCCTTGCATATACACATTGAATTATTTAGGCTTTCTGGAAATGTTACAGTTATAACGTTTCAATACAGATATTAAATTAGCAACGTTATTTTCAGTAATGATTTAAGTATCTCCTTTACATGTGCCAAGCTTATAAATATTGATTTACCGTAATATAATATAATATAATATTTTATTTAATTTTTATCCATGAAATATGGTGCTATATCAGTCAAATATATTTCATATTTTTTAAAAATAAATATGAAATATAAATATGAAAGTGGGCGGAGTTAAAACTCATATTTATTTTAAGGGACTTCTTTCGCCATTTTGTTTGAAAAATCTGTTAAATAAAAAAAATCTTTTTGTTGAATTTTGCTTTGAAAACTATCTAGAATGATAGAAAATGGTCTAACTGAGAAAATTAATCCGAACACCAATATCTTTAATTCAGTTATTAACGCTATACAGACGTTTAAACAGTTGTTTACGTGACGTCACAATGTAGCGCCAAATATCGCGCGCAAAACAAGACGCAATAATATATTACTGCGCGCTGTACAATTGCAGTTGCGTAGCAAGCAATAGGGTTTGTAACCATTTTTCTTTGATAATGAAATTAAATAAAAAGGTTATTTTTTCGTTTTTCGTGAAATATGGTATATATTTTCACTCAACATGATAAAATGCCACATATTTTCACTCGCCGTCCCGGCGAGTGAAAATATGTGGCATTTTATCATGTTTCGTGAAAATATATTCCATATTTCACTCAAACGAAAAAATATCCTCTTATTATATTATATTATATTATATTATATTAAGAGGATATTTTTTCGTTTGCGTGAAATATGGAATATATTTTCACGAAACATGATAAAAAATAACCTTTTTATTTAATTTCGTTATCAAAGAAAATGGTAACGAATCCCCTTGCTTGCTACCAACTGCAATTGTACAGCGGGCAGTAATTTATGCGTAAGCACGCGCTGTTTGGCGCTACATTGTGACGTCATGTAAACAACTCTTTAAACGTCTGTACAGCGTTAATTACTGAATTAAAGATATTGGTGTTCGGATTAATTTTCTTAGTTAGACCATTTTCTATCATGCTAGATAGTTTTCAAAACAATATTCAAGAAAAAGTTGTTTTGTATTTATCAGATTTTTCAAACAAAACGGCGAAAGCAGTCCCTTAAAATAAATATGAGTTTTGACTCCGCCCACTTTCATATTTATATTTCATATTTATTTTTAAAAAATATGAAATATATTTGACTGATATAGCACCATATTTCATGGGTAAAATTAAATAATATATTATATTATATTATATTATATTATGTCATGTATTGTCATATCAATCATATCATATCAAATCATATCATATCACATCATTCATACCATATAATATTCTACTGTTCTTCTTCTCATTTGCTGCTGCAAGTCCAGAGGACGAAATGAAAGCGAGGCTATTCCCATGCCCATCAATCATCCCCAGTGATAATTTAGATAACGGTATGTACAAAGTGGTGATACTGAACAAAATGAAAACATCAACAATATATTATCAGAAACAAATTTTCCATATACAAAAGAACCCGTCCCCGCCCCGAGCCGTCGCAACCCCCCTACACCGGAATATTATTATAGAATATACTTGAGGCCCGGTTGTTGTTTTATCCAGTGTGTGGCTAGTGAATATCTTTTTAGATAAATATGTCTTTTCAAACATGATATATCTTATTGAATAAGAAACATATACATGTAACATGAACGTGATAAAAAAAACGGACACCGCTATTTCCACATGGCATACCCAATACAGACGCCTTCATGTCCCCTGTCTTCAACTATTTCCGAGATGTAATGATAGCAAACAGATACAATAAGATTATCTATGTTTGTATATCAAATATCTTGAGAGTGATTTTGAAGAACTATCATTTTTGTACTTAATTGATCAACTCTGAAGTTATACGTTCCATTTAACATTAAATTATTTTAGTCGCTCTGTATCATGTGTATGTTATGTACAGAAATCTACGTATTTTTCTGCCGCGGTATATAGCAAATGCATTCTTAATTCTCGATTTCTTGTTAAGCTTACACGTTTATACATTACGACATTCCACTTGTTACAAAGAAATTGTTCGAAAAAAAACCCATAAAACCCGTAGCTAATACATGTACTAAATTTTTGTTTCCATGATGTTATTTCTATAGTTTTGTTTGCAATAAATTCGACTGATGATTTTTGTTCATTTACATACCAGAAACCATAATTAAAACTAAAACAAAATTATACATGGTTTATACATTTGTACATATAGACTTTATTGTTATTTATTTTGATGTTGCCTTTGGTTTTTGTTGTTGTTGATGTTAAAGGTATTTTTTTCTTTGGTTTGTTTTGTTAATTCTATACCTGGATTTTATAGAAACCAGCTTCATTGCTGTAAACCCCATACCTTTGGTAGAAGTAGACCTTGTATTACCTTTGTCGTGCATTATTACACGCACGATCGGAGCAGTAAGTGGAATCCTTCACCTTTCAAAATTAAGTTGCCTAAGATATAGCTTTGATTATCCTTACCCAGTCCATCGCCTATATCTGTAAATAAACCTATTGTACATGGTATCATCATTGTATCTTTAGAAGATTGTTATCTCTATATTGAAATAGTGTGATTGTCTTATTCATGGTGCAAGGTCCACAGTAGCTGTTTAGGGAGATTCAATATCTAAGAAAAGAAAACGTTTATAGTCCAGCCAGACTCCGTCTGTAAATATGACATAATAATGTCACTACATGTATTTAGTTTTTGAAAGAATCTCTAGAGGAAACATTAGATTCGTTAGAGTTGTATAGACCACCTGCTTATTCAACATTTTTACCCGGAATTTACCTTAAGAGAAAGAATATCAAATAGTTATTAAAAAAACGTTTAAACAATGTTCAAAGATCACAGATAAATATTGTAGGTTGATTTTTTATCACAGGGTTAAAACACAAAGAAGCGCATGGTATATGGAATAAAGGATAGAACTAAACGATGTGACGTCCAGTTACTCTTTCTGAAGCGTACGAATGCCCTCACTCACATGCTAGGGCTCTAAATTTGCCCTTAAAGTTACATTATACCTCAGAAACGAATGAATTTTCCTTTCTTCGGAAAGGGCCAAAATAAGTTTAATAGCATTTAAATGTTTTAACGTATATAAGATGATTGTCACCTGAAGAAATTTGCGCTGGTTTTTTTTTCATAAAAGTAGCAAAATTTAAACAAAAGTGGTTTTTTGATATTTTGACATCCATACAAAATACTAAACAACTCTAACTATAGTAATTGCCGAAAAACAATAGAAGCAAAATATGGTTCAGGTAATTGCCTAATTGTCCAATGTGTAACTTTTTGGAAACTATATTTTGACACCAAAAATAAAAAGCTTTTGTTAATTTTCTTACTTTATAGCTGTCTATTAACATTAACAAATGATATCTAACTTAATCTATACTATGAAACTTGAGAAACGTGCACGTCTATATATCGTAGATAAGAGGTATGCACACATATGTCAGCGATAGCGCACAAAGAAACACGGACATTTTAAACAGCGTATAGAAAGATAACGAAAATTATTAATAGTTAATCAATATTTAAGTTCAAAACATTTCCGGTATGGGGACGTCCTAAATCTATAGAGGAATATAAAGTTGTCATATTTGGATATCTATACGTTATAAAACTGGTATGATATACTTTCTTGTTTAACTTTGTGTGTGTTTTTATTTCTTATAGACTTATTAATTTAAATATTTTTAGACTTACGGATTGGATACCGTGTTATAAGCCGGTGCTAGGTGGGACTTGATAGAAGTTGCATTTCCCACCATCTCTTATAAACTGACTCAAACAAACCGAGTCTTCAATTTTCAACGATTTGCTTCTTTTTTTTGACACAAACTCGGAAGCAAAACAAGTAATAGAAAGAGCACCGAAACACGAGGCTATCTGATTTTTACGAGGGGGCGTAGCCCCCGAGTATTAATCAGATTGCCGAGTGTTTTGGTGTTCTTTCTCTTTTGTATCATAGTCAAACATAAAAACACGTTCCCTGTTGTCACAATATGAAACCCCGGCAAAAATGAACCCAATGAACGAACATCTGAAATATGACATTTCTGTCGCTTTCCCTTTCTCTGCCGTCACAATATGTAAACCCCAGCAAAAATGAGCCAATCAATGGGCATGCTCTGGAGTGCGGGTAACTAATACCCGCACTCAAGTTAACGCACTGTGCATGTATATGTATATACGATTTAACCCTGACACATTTTCAACAGAAAGGTCTCCAAACTATGATACAAGAGCCGTTTTTGTGTGCCGGTGTCGGATGATAATCACACGCGTGTGGCAATTTCTGCAATACTGATAACATTGTTTTCTCCCTGGCAAATAAAACTTGTGACAATAAATTTGTTTGTAGATTGACAATATTTACACATGCTGATCCTGTTCGTTATGATGTAGTTATTTATGCTTCATTGCGACAAACTCGGTTATTTTTCCCCCTTAAACTGATTATTTTAAAGATGGCACTGTCATCATAACAACTCAGCTATATCTTCACTATAATTATTATGCTCAATATATGGTTTAAAGTCTATCATTCTACCCTGCTTTAATATGTAAAGTAGATTGGTCTACAGTTGTCACATTTTCCATAAGTAGATAATAAAAACTAAAGAAATGTATCCTGGAAAAAATGTTCATAAGGTTTTTAGTTATTTAGTATGAACATTTTATGATGAATCATAACATTATGTTCTATAACTGCTGTATAAAGCCATGTTATATCGGAATATGTAGCCAGTAATATCATATTTGTTATTTGATACAGGTGACTTCGATCTAACAAGTTAAAACGATGAATATGGGTATGTTTGATGTCAATATTTCTGATATTATTAAATAAAGTACAATTCCATGATTCTAGTACTTTTTAAAGTCAACATTTCGTTTTAATACATAATTGAGCCGCGCAATGACAAAACCAACATAATGGGTTTGCGACCAGCATGGATCCAGACCAGCCTGCGCATCCACGCAGTCTGATCAGGATCCATGCTGTTCGCTTACAAACCCTATTACAAATAGAGAAACTGATAGCGAACAGCATTGGTCCTGATCAGACTGCGCGGATGCGCAGGCTGGTCTGGATCCATGCTGGTCGCAAACGCATTATGTTGGTTTTGTCATGGCGCGGCTCATTTTATATTTCTAATTTCAGATGATACGTTGACTATTGCTATATCTGTTTTTGATATCATCATTTTCTGTGGCATTTGCATACTTACAGCAGTTATTATACATAGGTGGTAGGTATGCCTTATTAACTCCCCTTTCTCGTAGCAATGTTCAGTTGTACCATTTTTATATAATAAGGTTAATTAATATCTATTCCCATAGTGTTTTTTTCGAACTGAGATAAGTAAAGTATCAATTTACTGTAATAAGCTTAGTAAACTATTTCCGTAATCATTTTAAGTGCTTTTGATATTTATTACCGTAATTAATGGAGATACATTAGTTAGTAATACTGTGTCGAAACACATCAAGTTCCAATGATCGCAAAAGATGATACAGTTTGAATTGTTTAGCAATCCAATACATGATTCAATGACCGGAAGTAAAAGGTGCTTGTTCTCGCAATAACCCGTACCAGGGACAGGACGTGACGTGGTTGCACACTTGGTTCAAGCAAAAATAAATTTGGTTGCAAACTTGACCAGATGGCTACCGATTTATGAATATTTACAACACCGGCACATATTTCCTTCAGGTAAGTGGGTTTGTATGTTATTTTGAAAAAAAAATATGCCCATTCATTAAAGTTTATGACACACTCGGATTTAGGTTTCAGCTTCCTAGCTTCTAATTTGACGTAGTTATTAAAGATGTAAACTGGTCATGTACATATTTTTGCGATTTGACAGGTGACAATTCTGGTCGGATTTTCTGCTAATTTATTCGCATCTTTAAGTTTTGAATTTCACCAAACAAGACAAGAAATATGTTTCTGTCAATACAGTGTAAATGTTTTAATTTGCATGTTCGTTAAATCAGAAGCTGGAAAGCTGAACCCTAAAACCGAGTGTGTCATAAACATTGCTTTAAAGAATGGAAATATTAAAAGTTTTCAAAATAACATACTGAAGAAAATACGTGTGAGTGTTGTAAATATTCATTCGGTAGCCATTTTGTCAAGATTGCAACGCTTGAACCAAGTGTTTTATTCAGAAAATGAAATGCATTTGTCAAGAAATAAATTCATGACTGACGGATGAATACGTAATTCTTGCAAACTGGCCACGCCTTTAATAATTTTGGTTCCCGTTTCCAAATGCAACGTTATACAAAGCTAAGATCGGAACCAACGTCAAAAATAGTCCGGCACTTCCATATATGGTACCGTATTTGTCACTAACATAATACGGAAATTTCTATCCGCTGAAGCGTATTTGCGCTTCAATATTTGCGTGTATTTTAGCGAGAAAATTTATAGGTATATAATATTATATTATATTATATTATGTCATGTATTGTCATATCATATCATATCATATCAAATCATATCACATCACATCATATCATACCATATAATATTACTGTTCTCTTCTCAGTTGCTGTTGCAAGTCAAGAGGACGAAATGAAAGCGAGGCTATTCCCATGCCATCAATCATCCCCAGTGATAATTTAGATAACGTATGTACAAGTGGTGATACTGAACAAAATGAAAACATCAACAATATATTATCAGAACAAATTTTCCATATACAAGAAGACCATCCCCGCCCCGAGCCGTCGGCACCACCCCTACCACCGGAATATTATATAGAATATACTTGAGGCCGGTTGTTGTTTTATACAGTGTGTGGCTAGTGAATATTTTAGATAAATATGTCTTTCAACATGATGTATCTTATTGAATAAGAAACATATACATGTACATGAAAGTGATTAACAACGACACCGCTCTTTCGACATGGATGCCCATACAGCCGCCTTCATGTTCCTGTCTTCCACTGTTTCCGAGATGTAACGGTAGTAACAAATACAATACGATTATCTTAAGTTCAGTAACTACTGAAGTTTTTCAGGGCTCAGTGCTAGGTCCTATACTGTTTTTAATCTATATCAATGACCTGCCTTTGTCTATGGAAAAATCAGAAACTTATATTTTTGCTGATGACACTACCCTTTCAACCTCTGATGTATCCCTTAATTAACAGAGTAGTTGAATCTCTTACTCAAGATGTTTTAAATGCCAACAAATGATATGATTTGAATCGCATGTCTATCAATGTTAACAAAACTAGGGACATGTATATTTCCTCAAAACCAGGCAAAATTATATTTATGAAAGTAATCCTTGTATTTCATATAAAACAGAGCAAATTTTTTGTAACTCTGAAGAAAAATTATTGGGTATTACAATTAATAACACATTGTCTTGGCAAAGCCATATTGATAATGTTCTTAAAAAATGTAACTCATTGTTACATTTATTATCACGTATAAAATTATTCATATCTATACCTGTACGTAAAATGTTTTACAATGCATATATTTTACCACATCTTGATTATTGTTGCATAATTTACGGTAACTGTAGATAAACTCATTAATTTCCAAAAGAGAGCTGCAAGACTAATAATTCTAGACAAAGATTATGACACCCCATCTGCTGAACTTTTTTCTGAACTCCGCTGGATGACCTTTTCACAGAGGGTTGTTTTTCAAAAAGCTATTACGATGTTTAAAATAATGAATAATCATGCGCCTTCCTATTTATTGAATAATTTCATTTTATCGTCAGATGTTCATACTCGCATTTTGCGTCCATCATCTGATTTTCAACTTTATACCCCTAGACCAAATACTGAACGATTTCGTAAGTCTTTTGTTTATTCTGGATCTTGTATTTGGAACGGCCTTCCTGATTATATTAAGTCTGCTACATCTGTGAACCATTTTAAAACCTTATACTTGAGGTATTATCACGCATTGAAGTATACAAATTGATAATCTCCTGTATGTTTTTACATTTATGTATTTTAATAGTTTGAATATGTTAAATTTATATTGTTCCTTGTTGAGGGCCTCATGAAAGATTGATATGTTTGTTCAAATGAGTTCTCTCGTTAAATAAAGTCTTTTTTATTATTATTATTATTATTATTATTATTATTATTATTATTATCTATGTTTGTTAATCAAATATCTTGAGAGTGATTTTGAAGAACTTTCATTTTTGTACTTAATTGGTTAACTCTGAACATTATTGTATTTAAGTCGTTCTGTATGTTATGTACAGAAATCTATGTATTTTTCTGCCTAGGTATATAGCAAATGCATTATTGTTGTTAAGCTTACACGTTTATTCAATACGACATTCCCTTTGTTACAAAGATTTAAAAAAACAACAACAAAAAACATAAAACCCGTAGATAATACATGTACTAAATTTTTGTTTCCATGACATTTCTATAGTTTCGTTTGCAATAAATTCGACTGATGATTTTTGTTCATTAACATACCAGAAACCATAATTAAAACTAAAACAAAATTATACATGGTTTATACATTTGTGCATATAGACTTTATTGTTATTTATTTTGATGATGCCTTTGATTTTTGTTGTTGTTAATGTTAAAGGTATTTTTTTCTTTGGTTTGTTTTGTTTATTCTATACCTTGATTTCATAGAAACCAGCCTCATTTTGCTGAAAACCCCATACCTTTGGTAGAAGTAGACCTTGTATTACCTTTGTCGTGCATTATTGCACGCACGATCGGAGCAGTAAGTGGAATCCTCCACCTTTCAAAATTAAGTTGCCTAAGATATAGCTTTTATTATCTTTATCCAGTCCATCGCCTATATCTGTAAATAAACCTATTGTACATGGTATCATCATTGTATCTTTAGAAGATTGTTATCTCTATATTGAAATAGTGTGATTGTCTTATTCATGGTGCAAGGTCCACAGTAGCTGTTTAGGGAGATTCAATATGTAAGAAAAGAAAACGTTTTGAGTCCAGCCAGACTCCGTCTGTAAATATGACATAATAATGTCACTATATGTATTTAGGTTTTGAAAGAATCTCTAGAGGAAACATTAGATTAGTTAGAGTTAGCTAGACCACCTGATTATTCAACATTTTTACCCGGAATTTACCTTAAGAGAAAGAATATCAAATAGTTATTAAAAAAACGTTTAAACAATGTTCAAAGATCACAGATAAATATTGTAGGTTGATATTTTATCACAGGGTTAAAACACAAAGAAGCACATGGTATATGGAATAAAGGATAGAACTAAACGATGTGACGTCCAGTTACTCTTTCTGAAGCGTACGAATGCCCTCACTCACATGCTAGGGCTCTAAATTTTCCCTTAAAGTTACATTATACCTCAGAAACGAATGAATTTTCCTTTCTTCGGAAAGGGCCAAAATAAGTTTAATAGCATTTAAATGTTTTAACGTATATAAGATGATTGTCACCTGAAGAAATTTGCGCTGGTTTTATTTTTCATAAAAGTAGCAAAATTTAAACAAAGTGGTATTTTTGATATTTTGACATCCATACAAAATACTAAACAACTCTAACTATAGTAATTGCCGAAAAACAATAGAAGCAAAATATGGTTCAGGTAATTGCCTAATTGTCCAATGTGTAACTTTTTGGAAACTATATTTTGACACCAAAAATAAAAAGCTTTTGTTAATTTTCTTACTTTATAGCTGTCTATTAACATTAACAAATGATATCTAACTTAATCTATACTATGAAACTTGAGAAACGTGCACGTCTATATATCGTAGATAAGAGGTATGCACACAAATGTCAGCGATAGTGCACAAAGAAAAACGGACATTTTAAACAGCGAATGGAAAGATAACGAAAATTATTAATAGTTAATCAATATTAAAGTTCAAAACATTTCCGGTATGGGGACGTCCTAAATCTATAAAGGAATATAAAGTTGTCATATTTGGATATCTATACGTTATAAAACTGGTATGATATACTTTCTTGTTTAACTTTGTGTGTGTTTTTATTTCTTATAGACTTATTAATTTAAATATTTTTAGACTTACGGATTGGATACCGTGTTATAAGCCGGTGCTAGGTGGGACTTGATAGAAGTTGCATTTCCCACCATCTCTTATAAACTGACTCAAACAAACCGAGTCTTCAATTTTCAACGATTTGCTTCTTTTTTTTGACACAAACTCGGAAGCAAAACAAGTAATAGAAAGAGCACCGAAACACGAGGCTATCTGATTTTTACGAGGGGGCGTAGCCCCCGAGTATTAATCAGATTGCCGAGTGTTTTGGTGTTCTTTCTCTTTTGTATCATAGTCAAACATAAAAACACGTTCCCTGTTGTCACAATATGAAACCCCGGCAAAAATGAACCAATGAACGAACATCTGAATATGACATTTCTGTCGCTTTCCCTTTCTCTGCCGTCACAATATGTAAACCCCAGCAAAAATGAGCCAATCAATGGGCATGCTCTGGAGTGCGGGGAACTAATACCCGCACTCCAGTTAACGCACTGTGCATGTTTATGTATACGATTTAACCCTGACACATTTTCAACAGAAAGGTCTCCAAACTATGATACAAGAGCCGTTTTTGTGTGCCGGTGTCGGGTGATAATCACACGCGTGTGGCAATTTCTGCAATACTGATAACATTGTTTTCTCCCTGGCAAATAAAACCACAGGCACGAGTATCGGACCTGGGAAGAAAAAATATGACCAGATTAAAAAAAAAACCTGTGTTCATCGTAAAAGTGTCAACCCCCCCCCCCCAAAATGTAAATAATGACCCCCTTAAAAATATACTATAAGTTAAGAGAAGGCCGGAAACTCCAGATTTGAGCCTACGAGCAAGGGATTCATTTCCCGGGCCGTTGTGAAAACAATTGGCCAGAGAATTAAATAAAACTTTTATCACTATTTCACGTTTATATAAAGCTTCAAAATGAGACCAACCCCAAGTCTCTAGCCCTTCCCAATCATGAAATATCTATCAGGAAACGAGCGAATTCGTGTTAAAAATCCTTGGTAGACAGAATTGCGGCACAACAATTCGGTACGTAAACATAGACTAATACATGTATGTCAGCTGAGTACGGGTCAAAATTACTTGAATTTACTAAATAATATAACTAAATACATTAAGTTGGACCACTCACAATTGTCAGGAGCATCTGATACACGCAAAATTCGAATTTCAAACCTTTCCACGGTCTTTAGATTCCTTTCTACGCCATTATCAATCAGCTGTTCGATATTTTGTAACGAGTCTTCTGATTGGCCAATAGCAACGAAAACCGCAACGTTTCACACAAGGATGCCTAATGGCGTAGAAAGTGATTGAAAGACCGTGAAAATGTTCGAAACTCGAATCTCGTGTGTATTAGATGCTCCTGACAATTGTGAGTGGTCCAACTTAATGTATTTTGTAATATTATTTAGTAAATTCAAGTGATTTTGACCCGTACTCAGCTGACATACATGTATTTAGTCCATGTTTACGTACCGAATTGTTGTGCCGCAATTCTGTCTACCAAGGATTTTTAGCACGAATTCGCTCGTTTCCTGATAGATATTTCATGAACGGGAAGGGCTAGAGACTTGGGGTTGGTCTCATTTTGAAGCTTAATATAAACGTGAAATAGTGATAAAAGTTTTATTTAATTCTCTGGCCAAATGTTTTCACAACGGCCCGGGAAATGAATCCCTTGCTCGTAGGCTCGAATCTGGAGTTTCCGGCCTTCTCTTAACTTATAGTATATTTTTTAAGGGGGTCATTATTTACATTTTTTGGGGTTTTTTTGACACTTTTATGATGAACACAGGTTTTTTATCAATCTGGTCATATTTTTTCTTCCCCGGTCCGATACTCGTTCCTGTGAATAAAACTTGTGACAATAAATTTGTTGGTAGATTGACAATATTTACACATGCTGACCCTGTTCGCTATGATGTAGTTATTTATGCTTGATTGCGACAAACTCGGTTATTTTTTCCCCCTTAAACTGATTATTTTAAAGATGGCACTGTCATCATAAAAACTCAGCTATATCTTCACTATAATTATTATGCTCAATATATGGTTTAAAGTCTATCATTCTACTCTGCTTTAATATGTATAGTAGAATGGTCTACAGTTGTCACATTTTCCATAAGTACATAATAAAAACTAAAGAAATGTATCCTGGAAAAAATGTTGATAAGGTTTTTAGTTATTTAGTATGAACATTTTATGATGAATCATAACATTATGTTTTAACTGCTGTATAAAGCCATGTTATATCGGAATATGTAGCCAGTAATATCATATTTGTTATTTGATACAGGTGACTTCGATCTAACAAGTTAAAACGATGAATATAGGTATGTTTGATATCAATATTTCTGATATTATTAAATAAAGTACAATTCCATGATTCTAGTACTTTTTAAAGTCAACATTTCGTTTTAATACATAATTGAGCCGCGCAATGACAAAACCAACATAATGGGTTTGCGACCAGCATGGATCCAGTACTAGACCAGCCTGCGCATCCGCGCAGTCTGATCAGGATCCATGCTGTTCGCTTACAAACCCTATTACAAGTAGAGAAACTGATAGCGAACATCATGGATCCTGATCAGACTGCGCGGATACGCAGGCTGGTCTGGATCCATGCTGGTCGCAAACGCATTATGTTGGTTTTGTCATGGCGCGGCTCATTTTATATTTCTAATTTCAGATGATACGTTGACTATTGCTATATCTGTTTTTGGTATCATCATTTTCTGTGGCATTTGCATACTTACAGTAGTTATTATACATAGGTGGTAGGTATGCCTTATTAACTCCCCTTTCTCGTAGCAATGTCCAGTTGTACCATTTTTAATTTAATAAGGTTAATTAATATCTATTCCCATAGTGTTTTTTTCGACTGAGATAAGTAAAGTATCAATTTACTGTAATAAGCTTAGTAAACTTTTTCCGTATCATTTTTAAGTGCTTTTGATATTTATTACCGTAATTAATGGAGATACCTTTAGTTAGTAATACTGTGTCGAAAACACATCAAGTTTCCAATGATCGCAAAAGATATACAGTTTGAATTGTTTAGCAATCCAATACCATGATTCAATGACCGGAAGTAAAAGGTGCTTGTTCTCGCAATAACCCGTACCAGGGACAGGACGTGACGTGGTTGCACACTTGGTTCAAGCAAAAATAAAATTGGTTGCAAACTTGACCAGATGGCTACCGATTTATGAAATATTTACAACACCGGCACATATTTCCTTCAGGTAAGTGGGTTTGTATGTTATTTTGAAAAAAAAATAATATGCCCATTCATTAAAGTTTATGACACACTCGGATTTAGGTT